ATGGCAGAGTTATGTAACAAGTGCAGTTTACAGAGGCTTTTTACAATCGTTTAGACTTCTATTTCTTAACATCAAGATAATAAACATGAACACAACAAGGTCAAAGTAATCATTCTCTTGTAGTAGTTTTTTTTTTCACAGACGCAAAAATGGAATATATTGCAGCGTACTAATACTTAAGTCTGGTGACTGCATTTGTTTGCTTTTTTTTCCTTTATTTGTCACCTGCTGATCCGACCACTATGTCTTAAAGGAGAACTATTGGGTCAGGGCTTTTCCCCATAGTTCTCCTAAGGGTCACGGGAGAACACAAACTAGCATTCTCCCGTCACCCAAAGCTCAGTATACCGCAAGCTACAGCTGAGACGCCGCAGCCGGGATGGATCCCGACATTGCTGTCTGGATCCACCCAGCTGCGGGATTGACAGCTGGCTCTGCCTATCCAGAGGCAGAGCCAGCTGTGCCCGCCCCCTCCCCGTCAGTTTCGCCAGTCAGCGCTGTAGGATTGGACAGGGAGGGGGGCAATCCCTGCAGGGAGCCGTGAGTGACAGTCACGGCTTCTCTGCAGGGATAGATCGAGAAGTGAGCGAGCGACGCTATGTGTTCGCTCACTTCCCGATCTACTGAGCCGACCTGTGACGGTTTCATTTTCACAGGTCGGCTAGAACTATGAGGCTGAGTGACCTCACCTCATAGTTCTCCTTTAATTTCCTTTACCAGACCAAGCTGTCCAGCAGAAGCGGTAGTAGAAGGGTTGAGACAAACCATATAAACACTGACTGGGGTGCTTACAATGGTCAGCTTCTATCCATTTATGTGAAACCTTTATCCCAAAAGGAAAAACAAAACTGTTAGTGTAACTGCTTAAAAAGTGTTATATGGAGTTCAGAATACATTTGTTATTCAAATTCATCTACAACTGCTACACCATCTAACACTCCCCTCTCCACAGGTTGACAATGCTGCTGTCCATGGGTGACTGTCGCTCTTCCTTAGATACAGTGGGGGACTGAGCGTAGCCACCCTAAGACAGGAAGTGCGTTACTGGCCTGATCACCAGGCAAAAATAAAGAAAAAATGCTTTGATTGCATTATCAAAAACAATTCCATTATGTATTCCTATTACAAGGCTGATGTTATAACAGGATAGTATGTGCTGGGACATTACAACTCTTTTAACACATCTCCTGACCTAGAGGGGCAACGCTGCTTCTCCATAGATATAGTACATTGAGTGAACGTTGTCACCCAAGGGCAGGAAGTGCATGGATCACTGGCAGGATCACTAGGTGAAAAGAAAGTAAAAGAAAAAGCCTGAAGTAGAAAACGAATGCAGCCACCAAATTTAAAGATTGGGAAGTGGTAATATTTTACATTTTTGTTTTTGGGTTTAGATACACTTTACAAATGTGTAAAACCATTAATGTCCATAGTCTGGGCACAAGTGCACTTTAAGACTGTATAAAGCCTTTTTTCTGAGGAATGTCAGCATGACAACACTTAAATGATATTAAAGGATACTTTATTATCCATTTGAAATGCTGCTGAATTACCACACAGCGTGTACTGCTCCTTGATCATTCCGAATCCCCCAAGCACTGACCGTGATAACCTGATTTAGGATGTTTCCTTTCCCTTGCAGGGTCCGACGGAGCCACACTTACATTTGCCCTCCTGGCTGGCTGTGCACGTCCATGCAAACACTCAGCCCCATGGCAAGCCACTCCTTTGATACCTCATCCTTGATAATTGAAGGACAGCTGATGGCGTCTGCGCTGGCTCTTTATTACCAGATACTCAGCAAGCTAACTCTCCGACAGGAAGTTTGGGAAAGCAGTGCTGAGGGACCTGGAGCCAGTGGCAGTCCAAAGCAATTAAAGCGTTTGTGCCCCTGTATACATTAAATTATGTTCCAGGGCATGTTTACCAGGAGACATAGAATTCACTATGTCTTTAGTGCAGAGCTTCTCAATGTTGGTTGACAAGCCCAGCACTGATGACACCCTTCAAGCAGAAATGCTAATTGTAGGTGTCAGCAGTGCGGAGCTGGTCAACAAATGCGAGGGTGTCAGCAGTGCGGAGCTGGTCAACAAATGCGAGGGTGTCAGCAGTGCGGAGCTGGTCAACAAATGCGAGGGTGTCAGCATTGCGGTCGTCACCCAAAGCTCAGTATACCGCAAGCTACAGCTGAGACGCCGCAGCCGGGATGGATCCCGACATTGCTGTCTGGATCCACCCAGCTGCGGGATTGACAGCTGGCTCTGCCTATCCAGAGGCAGAGCCAGCTGTGCCCGCCCCCTCCCCGTCAGTTTCGCCAGTCAGCGCTGTAGGATTGGACAGGGAGGGGGGCAATCCCTGCAGGGAGCCGTGAGTGACAGTCACGGCTTCTCTGCAGGGATAGATCGAGAAGTGAGCGAGCGACGCTATGTGTTCGCTCACTTCCCGATCTACTGAGCCGACCTGTGACGGTTTCATTTTCACAGGTCGGCTAGAACTATGAGGCTGAGTGACCTCACCTCATAGTTCTCCTTTAATTTCCTTTACCAGACCAAGCTGTCCAGCAGAAGCGGTAGTAGAAGGGTTGAGACAAACCATATAAACACTGACTGGGGTGCTTACAATGGTCAGCTTCTATCCATTTATGTGAAACCTTTATCCCAAAAGGAAAAACAAAACTGTTAGTGTAACTGCTTAAAAAGTGTTATATGGAGTTCAGAATACATTTGTTATTCAAATTCATCTACAACTGCTACACCATCTAACACTCCCCTCTCCACAGGTTGACAATGCTGCTGTCCATGGGTGACTGTCGCTCTTCCTTAGATACAGTGGGGGACTGAGCGTAGCCACCCTAAGACAGGAAGTGCGTTACTGGCCTGATCACCAGGCAAAAATAAAGAAAAAATGCTTTGATTGCATTATCAAAAACAATTCCATTATGTATTCCTATTACAAGGCTGATGTTATAACAGGATAGTATGTGCTGGGACATTACAACTCTTTTAACACATCTCCTGACCTAGAGGGGCAACGCTGCTTCTCCATAGATATAGTACATTGAGTGAACGTTGTCACCCAAGGGCAGGAAGTGCATGGATCACTGGCAGGATCACTAGGTGAAAAGAAAGTAAAAGAAAAAGCCTGAAGTAGAAAACGAATGCAGCCACCAAATTTAAAGATTGGGAAGTGGTAATATTTTACATTTTTGTTTTTGGGTTTAGATACACTTTACAAATGTGTAAAACCATTAATGTCCATAGTCTGGGCACAAGTGCACTTTAAGACTGTATAAAGCCTTTTTTCTGAGGAATGTCAGCATGACAACACTTAAATGATATTAAAGGATACTTTATTATCCATTTGAAATGCTGCTGAATTACCACACAGCGTGTACTGCTCCTTGATCATTCCGAATCCCCCAAGCACTGACCGTGATAACCTGATTTAGGATGTTTCCTTTCCCTTGCAGGGTCCGACGGAGCCACACTTACATTTGCCCTCCTGGCTGGCTGTGCACGTCCATGCAAACACTCAGCCCCATGGCAAGCCACTCCTTTGATACCTCATCCTTGATAATTGAAGGACAGCTGATGGCGTCTGCGCTGGCTCTTTATTACCAGATACTCAGCAAGCTAACTCTCCGACAGGAAGTTTGGGAAAGCAGTGCTGAGGGACCTGGAGCCAGTGGCAGTCCAAAGCAATTAAAGCGTTTGTGCCCCTGTATACATTAAATTATGTTCCAGGGCATGTTTACCAGGAGACATAGAATTCACTATGTCTTTAGTGCAGAGCTTCTCAATGTTGGTTGACAAGCCCAGCACTGATGACACCCTTCAAGCAGAAATGCTAATTGTAGGTGTCAGCAGTGCGGAGCTGGTCAACAAATGCGAGGGTGTCAGCAGTGCGGAGCTGGTCAACAAATGCGAGGGTGTCAGCAGTGCGGAGCTGGTCAACAAATGCGAGGGTGTCAGCAGTGCGGAGCTGGTCAACAAATGCGAGGGTGTCAGCAGTGCGGAGCTGGTCAACAAATGCGAGGGTGTCAGCAGTGCGGAGCTGGTCAACAAATGCGAGGGTGTCAGCAGTGCGGAGCTGGTCAACAAATGCGAGGGTGTCAGCAGTGCGGAGCTGGTCAACAAATGCGAGGGTGTCAGCAGTGCGGAGCTGGTCAACAAATGCGAGGGTGTCAGCAGTGCGGAGCTGGTCAACAAATGCGAGGGTGTCAGCAGTGCGGAGCTGGTCAACAAATGCGAGGGTGTCAGCAGTGCGCAGCTGGTCAACAAATGCGAGGGTGTCAGCAGTGCGGAGCTGGTCAACAAATGTGAGGGTGTCCTCAGTACAGGGATGTTGTCAGTGGGGAGCTTGTCAATGCCCACGCGCCGGCGCTGCGAGGCTCCCCAATGCACACCAATCAATACACACTGACACTGGGAGGGGACCTCACTAGGGAGGCTCCATGGGAATTTGTACCTAGTCAGACTCCAATACAACCATCATCAGCACTGTATTTCAGGTTGTTATTCGGCAGATGATGATCGTTCCAGGTCAATGATTGCATCTGCTGTTTCCTACACTTACTATTTGTGACACTTCCACATGGATCTCATACAAACATAATATGAGCCATTAGTGTCAGTGACAGGAGCCTGGAGAGGATGACATGAAGTGTCACCCAGAAGCTGCTCTCCTCCATTCATGTCACCAGACGTCATCCATGACACTCTGCCCCATGGAGTCATTTATTACAGCAACATGGCAGCCGCCTTGCAAAATTTGATCAGCAGTACATAGAGGGACACTGGTCAGGCAGACCCTGGTCGGTGTGTGTCACATTGAGCCATCATCAGTGTGACTTGTACAGCAATGTCCTCATAATGGTACATCTGCTGCATTGCTATTCTATTAAAGGTCCCGGATCGGGCACAGACACCACACACTGCCAATAGTAATCCACACCACCCCACCGATCACACCAGTGTAAGTGCCCCTATGCATTCACTTACCACCGTCCAGCCTGACAAGTTGGGGCAGCCGGTAGGAGCTAACGATCAGATCCAAGGGGAACGAGGCCGAGCTCCACTTTACATCCTTCACGGAGGGGGCTGAAAGGTCCATCTTGTTCCCCCTTCCCCTGCCAGGGGGGGACACCAGGAATAGGGGCTCCAGGGGAGCTGTGCGGTGCCCTGCAGGGCTCCGATCGTACACTGTGCTCAGCTGCTGCTCATGATCTCCCCGGCTGGATATATACAGAGGACAGAGCCCGCACTGCCGATCTCCCGGACACTTTTCTTGTTATTACTCCGCTCCTGAGTCGGCTAAGAAACACCATACCAGCGCTGGCGACACTGACTAATCAACAGGGTGTAGAAGACGCCCGTGCAGCTCCGGGAGCCCGCCTCCCCAGCCCAAAATCAGCCTGGAACAGGAACACTTCCTGACATCCACAAGCGGCTAGTGTGCACTGGGAGCAGGCGGCCAATGCTGGCTCTCTGCTGTCCCCTACTGGCAGCATGGCGCACTGCACCTTCCATCTGGGATATGGAATGCTGGCTCTCTACAGCACCCTAGTGGCAGCATGGCGCACTGCACCTTCCTTATGGCATATGGAGCGAAGGCTCTATACAGCTTCCTAGTGGCAGCATGGCGCACTACACCTTCCCTCCGGGATATGGAATGCTGGCTCTCTACAGCTTCTTAGTGGCGGCGTTGCGTACTGCACCTTCCCCCTGAGATATGGAATGCTGGCTCTCTACAGCCCCCTAGTGGTAATATGACACGCTGCACCTTCCCTCTGGGACATGGAGAGCAGGCTCTCTACAGCTCCCTAGTGGTAGCTTGACATGCTGCACCTTCCCTTTTTGACATGGAGCACTGGCTCTTTACAGCTCCGTATGGAAGCATGGTGCACTGCACATTCCTTCTGGGATATGGAGCATTGGCTCTCTGCAGCACCCTAGGGGCAGCAAGGCGCACTGCACCATTCCTCTGGGATATGGAATGCTGGCTCTATACTGCCCCCCAGCGGTACCACGGCATGCTGCAACTTCCCTCTGGCATATGGAGCGCTGGCTCTAAACTGCTCCCTAATGGCAGCAAGAAGCGCTGCACCATTCCTCTGGGATATGGAATGCTGGCTCTATACTGCCCCCCAGCGGTATCACGGCATGCTGCAACTTCCCTCTGGCATATTGAGCGCTGGCTCTATACTGCCCCCCAGCGGTATCACGGCATGCTGCAACTTCCCTCTGGCATATGGAGTGCTGGCTCTAAACTGTTCCCTAATGGCAGCAAGAAGCACTGCACCATTCCTCTGGGATATGGAATGCTGGCTCTATACTGCTCCCTAGCGTTATCACGGCACGCTGCAACTTTGTTTTGGCATATGGAGCGCTTGTTCTATACTGCTTCCTAGTGGCAGCACAGCATACTGCACCTTTCCTCTGGCATATGGAGTGCTGGCTCTCTACAGCTTCCTAGTGGTAGCATGACGCACTGCACAATTCCACTGGGATATGGAATGCTGGCTCTATACTGCTCCCTAGCGTTATCACGGCACGCTGCAACTTTGTTTTGGCATATGGAGCGCTTGTTCTATACTGCTTCCTAGTGGCAGCACAGCATACTGCACCTTTCCTCTGGGATATGGAGTGCTGGCTCTCTATAGCTTCCTAGTGGTAGCATGACACACTGCAAAATTCCACTGGGATATGGAATGCTGGCTCTATACTGCTCCCTAGTGGTAGCACAGCATACTGCACCTTTCCTCTGGGATATGGAGTGCTGGCTCTCTACAGCTCCCTAGTTGTAGCATGACGCACGGCACCATTCCTGTGGGATATGGAGCGCTGGCTCTTTACTGCTCCCTAGTGGTAGCACAGCGTACTGCAGCTTCCCTCTGGCATATGGCGCACACTATCCTCTATAGAGGGGCTCATTCACATAATTCTCACCTAAGTAGATTGGTGTCACCCAGTAAGGAGCAAAATCTAGGCACAATTTCACAATTATAAGAAAATGCAATGGATTCAATGGGCAAGGCAGCTTTAATTTTTTTTTAAAAAGTGATATGTTTTAAAGTGTCTTGTACTTTGCAGCCAAATTGGGATAACAACTATTTTATACTTGCCGTTCCCATTTACATCGCATAATTACAAAATAAAATAAAAATGACTGCGTACCTTTTTACTTGCTGAAAAATCTTGGTTTGCTTCTCCCTTCTATTTGATATTAAAGGTTAATTGTACCTTACACACATATTTACGGTTTGACATGAAACATGGTCAGAATGCAAACGGCGTCATCTGCACAGCTGTCTCCTCTCTTTCCAGATCCTTTGACAGGATCTGTAAATGGTGAAACTACTTATCCCCATGTTACTGAATGCCCATACCTCGGTACAGACATGGACTTCCTTCCATGCATGTTACTCAATGTCCATACCTCGGTACAGATATAGATGGGATGTCACCGCACTTGTAGTCCATTGACACTACCTCCCATCCATGTTACTGAATGTCCATACCTCAGTACAGACGTCACCTCACTTGTAGTCGATTGACACCTCCTACTGTCTATGTTACTAAATATCCATACCTCTATACAAACATGGATGGGATGCCACCACACTTGTAGTCCATTGTACTTCCTCCCGTCCATGTTACTTAATGTCCATAATTCAGTACAGGCATAGATGGGACGTCACCTCAGTTGTAGTCCATTGATACTTCCTACTGTCCATGTTAATAAATATCCATACTTTTATACAGACATTGATGGGACGTCACCGTACTTGTAGTCCATTGATACTACAGAGGGCGCATGTCATTTTTCAATGGAATACAAGTATGGTGACATCACCGTACTTTAGTCCATTGATACTTCCTCCCGTCCATGTTACTGAATGTTCATTCTTCCGTACAGACATAGATGGGACATCACCTCACTTGTAGTCCATTGACACTTCCTCCTGTCCATGTTACTTAATATCCATTCCTCTATACAGACATGGATGGCATGTCACCATACTTGTAGTCCATTGATACTTCCTCCGGTCTATGTTACTAAATGTTCATTCCTCGGTACAGACATGGATGGGACATCACCACACTTGTAGTCCATTGACACTTCCTCCTTTTCATGTTACTGAATATCCATACCTGTAAGGTCTGGCTTCTATGGAACTCAGCTGCGCATAGTTCATACACAGGGGGTTGAATATCATGCACAAAACCCCTCACTCGAATGAATACACAGAAACAACCAGGTAGGAATATCTTATGGCAACTGTAATAATTCATACAGGTAATACACCAATGCAGTTTATGCTGAGATCATGAGTGTCAGGAAATAGTATTGCAGGTATACTTGCGATTTGGCAGTGCTGACAAGTCAGGAGTATTTGCAGAGGATTCCTTGAGAGGAAAAGAGAGTTCAATAATCGTCAGGAGAAAAGTCCCATCCATGTTACTGAATATGAATACCACGATACAGACATGGATGGGGCATCACTACACTTGCAGTTCCTCCCATCCATGTTACTGAATGTCCATACCTAGATACAAGATTGAAGAAAATAGGTCACCAGCACTCCATAAGTTAAAATGAATGAGTCCTTTTAATGGACAATGATGTCACAGAAATCCAACATGAGCCGACGTTTCGGGGCCACACAGGGTCCCTTCTTCAAGGCAAGACATGTGACATGCCTTGAAGAAGGGACCCTGTGTGGCCCCGAAACGTCGGCTCATGTTGGATTTCTGTGACATCATTGTCCATTAAAAGGACTCATTCATTTTAACTTATGGAGTGCTGGTGACCTATTTTCTTCAATCTTGTGTTTTGCACGGTGCCATCCGTGAAGTTACTTCGAGCACCATTTATTTGATTGTTGGCCGGGACTGCTGAAAGGTGTGCGGAGGGCACCTCCACCAATTGCATACCTAGATACAGACATGGATGGATATCACTACACTTGTAGTCCATTGACACTTCCTCCCATCCATGTTACTCAATAGAGAACCAGAGCATCACATCTGTGATCCACCAACCGTGGTTGTATGGCACCTATGCAAAACAAATAATAAATGCACATTTTTCCTTTTATGAAGAAGTGTGCATTTATTATTTATATAGGTGGAATTTTCCTTTAAGGATGGTCTGGGGAGTTATGTTTACCATAATTAAAGTGCAACTGTAGCCAAACCTTTTAAGAGGAGATTCCTCCTTCCACATGTTCAGTATGGATGAAGGAATCTATTATGGTATGACTAGTGTAATCTTGTGATCCTTTATAACAGCCAGTGCCTGCCAAATACATCTCTATTAGCATTAATGTATTTCATTATGTGTATACATGTTTGCCAAACAATCGCCTCATCTTTTCAAATACAGCTACTACAACATTCTCAGATCTTATGACACATTAACTGATAATAGTTGACAGAGTTATTCTGCATTTTCTTCAACAAACACAAGTATCCGGATCCTGCAAGAAGTAACACGGGTATAAACGCCACTGGTCGGGAATCTGTAGGTAACCTACATCAGAATACACAGGTACTACATTTTCTGAATGCACCATTTTACTGTAGGAAGATGTGTATGTAATTGCATTACAGCTTTCATTGCAGATAAATAATAATACAGCAACAAACCAGAAGAACATTTGTATCAGCATTTTATTACTGGAGACAACGTATACATTTTGCACATTTCACCGTATGCTATGAACAGCCTCAGTTATAGGAAAAACTCGGTTTGAGTTTGTTTCGCAGACAGCTTTGAGAACTTTACCAGCTATTTGAACTCACCAAGTCTTTACCAATTTATATGGACACTCTGCAGTCACTGTCTTATGTTTCCAATGTTAGGCGCCATCTAGTGGTTTATTCTTGTCTGTAAATGTTGTTGATTCTTGCAGTAAGAGACAGGGGTAATATTACAGGGATGCTTACTAAATTAGAGACACACAATAATACTAAAAGGATAAATGAACTTTCAGAGAAATTACACTTTATTTATTTATTACAGGTATATATAAAGCACCAACAATTTAAGCACATTCACATCAGTCCCTTCCCCCAAGGAGCTTACAATCTAAGGCCCCTATCTCATATACATACAGGCTGATTTAGGCAGGAGCCAATTACCTTCCAGCATGTCTTTGGAGTGTGAGAGGAAACCCATGCAAGCACAGGGAGAACACTTATCCTTTTGGTCTAATCCTCTTGACCTAAAGTAAGCCACCCTTTCTCAACCCAGATGTATACCTACCTAAATCAGGGGGACATAGCCTGCAGGGATTTTCAGAGCCTTTGATCGAAATCATCTTTCTCCTGGGCACACGTACAAAGCTAAACTCCCAGATATCACCCTCTTGCAATCCACAGGATAGCATAGCTCAAACTGGAATAGAGACATGCAGCACAAGGAACCAGGCAGTTGTACAGCAGTGCTAACAAGGGACATGGTGATAGAAGGGGAGGGCAGATGAGCTCATCTGTCTGCTGCTTCTTCTTTTACTCACAGGCTGGGGGGAAAAGACAAGACCTAAAAGTGACATATCAGGTATTTTACCAGGCTAAACAGGGCTGTGCTGTGTGGCGGAGCTGTGTAAACTTCAGGAAAAGAGGGGCAGAAATACAATTCCAAATAAATCCAGATAAAGCAGCTTCCATACGTGTATTTCACCTGTGTAATTAGCTGTTTGCCTGGTGTTAAGATTTAAGGATTTTGCTCCATGCTGACTCAGTATACTCACCATTAGTGATGGGCCGAACACCCTCGTGTTCGGTTTGAATTCGAGCTTTAGTTCGAATTCAAACTCAATGCAAGTCTATGAGGATAGGACTTTGAAAATCAATTGTCCCCTTTTTGATGGCTTATATGCAAGTTATTAGCCATAAAGGGTCTGGTGATTTGGGTACTGCCCTGGGAGACATGTATCAATGAAAAAAAAAAAAAGGTTAAAAAAATACAGTTTTTAAAGGAGCAGTGATTTTAACATTGCTTAAAGTGAAACAATAAAATGAAAAATTCCTTTAAATATTGTGCCTTGCGGGGCTCCCTTAAACTGCCTGTAAAGTGGCACATCTGTACAGTGTATAGAAACTGCTGCAGAAAAAATTACATTTAGAAAGAAAAAAAAAGCATGCCGTTCCCCCTCCTAAACAATACCAGACCTTTTAGGTCTGGTAAGAATGTTAGAAGGGACCCCATTAAAAAAAAAAAAAGTCATACCAGACCCTTAAGGTCTGGTAGGAATTTTAAGGAGGAAGCCCTCCCCTAAAAATGGGGAAAAAAAGATGTGGGGTCCCCCCTAACATTCCATACCAGACCCTTCATCCGAGCACAGGCCTGGCAGGGCAGGAAAGAGGGGGGGGGGAAACGACGACGAGCAAGCACCCCCCCATACCAGGCCACATGCTCTCAGAACTAGGAGGGTACTTTTCTAGGGTCGCACCTTGTCCCTGTGCCGATGGGGACAACGGCCTCTTTCCCACAAGCCCTGGGGCTTTGGTTGTGGGGGTGCCGGAAGGGGGCTTATTCACGTCAGTGTACCCCTTTAATAAAGAGGCACCCAGATGCGCCCCACCATTCACGAAAGGGTTAAATAGAAGTTTTAAAAAAGAGGCCAGACTTTTGAATTAACTATAGGAATTAGGAAGTGTTTCATCTGCAGTACTTTCTGTAGTTAATTCCATCTGAACACAAGCTCCAATGCAGCTCTATATTAATATGCATCATATTGGGAACATATCACATATATTTTTTTAAATGTAAGCAGTGTAAGTACCTGAATTTGACCTAGTATCAGCCTTTTGCAAGGAGGCAATAGGTTGTGCTGCATTGGTGTGCTAAGCAGAGTGGCAGAGAGGCGATTGTGCTACTTCTGCTCTTAACCCTTTCGCTGCCACTGACGTATGTCATATATTGCTGGCAGCGGGCCCCTTTACGTGTGTAAAGGCAACTGTCGGTTTTACACTGGAAGCGATTCTGGCGGATGAGCTGCCACCACATAATTTCCAGGGGCCAGTGTAGTGCGCGCTTCCTTTTGCCCGACACTCCCTGCCTTGCTTCCCAAGCTCTGCTGCATCTCCCGCGGGCCCTAGACCAGCATAACGGTTGTCGGCGGGAAGCGAGACCAGGGAACTTCCATTTGCCGATCTCCTCCCTGCTGAATGGTGCTAGAAGTGATGCTGATTGCTTCCCTCAGCTGTCATTGCTAGGCTGCAATGATTTTAGCTACACTACAATGTAGTCACTGTAGGTACTATCTTTCGGTGCACATCAGGTTGCCTTTGCAGCCCTAAAATAACCCAAAATAACTGGTAAGGGATCTTCTTTAGTTCCCTTTATGGGGAAATATTTTTGGTATGTTTTAAATGTAATGCAGGTGGATCATGGCACGTGGGTGGAAACTGTGGGGCTCTGTACATAGCATTCTGAAAACATCACAGCACCCCACATTAGAACTCCTTTCAAAATAAACAATATGTGATATCCCAAATGATTCCACGATTGCTGAGTGCCATTTTTCTTTTATCTTCTGCACAACTGTTATGACAGAAATATGGAAGGAATATACCACCCAGAGTCAGTGACACATGGTGGGCCATATATAGCTACCTGTTCCCCATTTAGACCTGAAATGACAATGTCTGATAAAAGACATTCTTCCACTTGACTGAATGTCAAGAGCTGCAAAGGAAGCTGATGCTGGGAAATGTGAAAAGATGTCTCACTATATATAACGACCTTCAGAAGCACCCACCTTTCACCATGGCCACCAATCACTGCGGCAGCATGGCACACTTTTCATGGTGCACTTTCTTTGTCCCACAGAAATTTCTCCTTGCCATGAAACGTTTCCAGGCCGCTCCTAATTCAAGATTATTCTTGAAATAAATGCACATCATCATATTTTGTGTAGTTTAGCTTTAATAATAGTTTACTATGCTTTTACGTTCTGATTATAGCTAACACTCTAGAAAACAAAAACAACCAAATAAAACGGAATGTTACAATATATAAATATAGTTGTAATACTGTGCAATGATACCAGTCACAATAAACTGTGGTTGGCGCAGCAGCATGGAATGAGAGGCATCTTCAGTGCAACCATAATGTGGCTGGGAGTTCCTTTACCTACAAGCCACACATGAAGTACTTTTCTTTGGTTTTTGTAAATCCACCACATCTGGATTGAGAAACAAAGACGATCTCTAAAGAGGAAAACAATGATTATGATTACTCTAGGTGAGGCAGACATTTTAGAGCAGAGTGCTGTTCGAGAAGGCATGTAATGGGCAACCAGCAAATATATACCCATTTTGTGTCTGAGACCATTTGTCATTTGTGGGAGAGTTTGAGCTTTATTGTTAAACTTCAGTGAGATCAATGTGCAACAGGTCTGGAAATTATAAAGCAACTTCATGTATTACATATAAGGAATAGTTTATAAACCATTCGCACAGGTCCTCGCTGTGCAAACAAGATACTTAGTGCTGTATGCCCACTAGATGGAGCCGAGGCACATAGGAATTCCTATGCTCATAAGCTCCATCTAGTGACCATACTGCACTGGGAATCTTGGTCTGTGCAAATTGTTTTTAAATAAGCCCCTTAGTGTCTGTGGATAATGTTTCAAACACATAAGGTCCCTGGTAAAAAAAAAAAAAAAATATTTCTGAATAGACTGCCAAGAATCTAACAGGGCTATTCACAAAAGGGTGAAGAGTTTGGAGAAGGCAGGAGAAGTGAACAATCTAGGACAACATAGCTGAACTGGAAAGTGAGCTGAATTGGAGAAGTTTTCCAAATCAGAATCAGCTATGTTGTCCTAGATTGTTCACTTCTCCTGCCTTCTCCATACTATTCACCCGTTTGTGAATAGCCCTGTATGTCTTTCCCCTGGGATGCCATAGCATCTGTCAGCATAGGACAGGATGGTTCAAGCTCAGTAGTTTGCAAATGAAATGTATGCATATCAGCCTTCAGGGATTCAACTTTGGATGTATATTTGGATTCAATTTCGTTGGGAATATCTTCCCATTTCAAATCTGGTCAGTAGTGTTATAGTGCACTCTCTCCAATCCAAGACCCTCCTTGAACCTTCAAATTGGTGAGCTAAAGGGTATGAAGGAGAGGCTGGCTGGTCAGGAGCAGCATCCTAAGTGAGCAGAGCTGGCCTGGGAATGGGTGGATGAGATAATGGCGGCAAAAAGTCTGCCAGTGCACTGCAGAGGATCCGCCACCTTGAAAGGCCATGTTGCAGGCCTGATCTCTGACACTGAAAAATACATGGCTGCCTCTCTGCGGAGTCGCTGTTATCCAAGGTTGATAGTAGCAAGTACTTAAATCACAGTGACCCAGAGGGGGGGGGGGGGGGGGAGGGGGGGGGGGGGGGGGGAGAGATGATGGGGTGCTGGAGCTCATCAGTCAAATATTTAATCTTAACCTACGCAGGCCACACCCCATGTTTTTAAAACCTTGTTTATATGTATAGTTTTAAACATGTATATAGGGGCAGCCATGAACACACTATATTTGCAGGATCTACTTTGCAGTACTGCCCCAAATTACAATAAGTCACACAATTCACTGAAAACTATGTATTTCATATGAGGCTGTTTTTTTTTTTTTTTACAAAAAAGTAATTTATAGTATAGTTTCAGTGAGCAAATTTTTAGTTTTTATTTCAATGTTCAACTTAAAGTGACCCTGTCACATTCTTAAGAAATGAAGCTGAAAGTTCCCTGCAAGGTAAAAGGTATTCTATTCACCTCTCCAGCAGTCATTGTTTCCTGTTTCCCCTGTGTTCCAGCAGATGAGTCCTGTGAGAGAACCGCAGAGCTAATGGAGGGGAGGTAGGTGACGGTGGCCGTTAGAGAGGTGAGTATGAAACCTCTTTTCTTACAGGGAACCTTTAGCACCATTTTCTAAAAAGTGGCAGAGTCGCTTTAAAGTTTGCTTTTCCAAATGTTGTTATTGCAAGAAATACAATATGACGTTAGTGATTTGTGCATGGCTAGGGGGAGCTCTCAATAGCTCAGTCTTGTAGACCACCATTGGGATAAGAGATCAACCACACAATGGTGTATTATTTTCCTTGAGTCAGCTGACTAAAGCTGTCCTTACACTGGTAGATTTTCCTATTTTCATACACAAATCTCATCAGAACATTCAATAATGCCATCAGAGACTTGCCAAGTGTCGTTCAAAATTTCATTTCATTTTGACATTCAGGTTTGGAATAAATGGATTTTACCAAATGAAAACCACATTCACTGTTAGGATTTTGTTAATTTGAGAAATAATTTTCATCTGAATTTTCATCAATTGAAAACAATCCTCAACAGACCACATGAACTATTCAACAAATTGAGCGAATGTTTTCCGAAAACAATTTTTTTCAAACAGAATTCTACTGGTGTATGTCAAGCTTTAGACTTGTATTGTGAAAAGGAGTGGTAAAGCACAATCGCTGCAAAGAACTGCAAAGCAGAAAGCAGCCAATCAGAAAGCCGGGCGGCATTTAATGATGAGCTGCCCGGCTTCCTGATTGGTCAGGAAGCTGACCATTTAGGAAGACAGGCGGTGAGTCATTACCCGTCGCCCAGCTTCCTGATTGGCCAGAAAGCCGGCTCCATGCTTCCTCGTCACCTGGTGACAAGGGAGCAAAGAGGCGGCTTCCTGGCCAATCAGGAAGCCGGGCGGCGTTTAATGACTCGCTGCCCGGCTTCCTGGTAATGACTCGCCTTCCTTAATGGTACTTCCGTTATCAGTAATCGGTATGGGCGAGTACCGAAAACAAATATCGGAACTCGTAGTCCATACCGGAAAAATTGTATTGGTGCATTCCTGCCTATTACTATCAATAACTGGTCTTTACATTAGCACTTTTGCACCTTTATGTTATTGATATTTTATTTTTATGAGACAGTAACTGGAATAGTTACTTAAATAAGTTGTTTTTAGCTGTCTTGGCATGGTTTGCCCACCATTCGGGGTCGGCAATAAAAAAACAGAAAACAAATATATAAAATCCTGGTTCTAGGAATTGGTGCTTACCTACCTTTTCATATATTGCATTTGACAAAATGAGGAATGCTTTGTCAATATTGATATTTTCCTTAGCACTTGTCTCAAAAAATGGTATGCCATGCTCCCAAGCAAGCTGGACAATAAAAAAAACAGTGAATATATGAGATGTTTTAAAACATACAAAATTATAGTACATCATTTACATGTCGGATAATAATACCATTAGAATAAAGATGAACTCCAACTATAGAGATTTATTTATACGTACAGTGGTCCAGCTTGGCCCAATTTAAGTATATATAGTTTACACGTGGTAGGGCCATGGGAATCCTGTAAAATAATGTAATAGCTGAAGATCTTACAGTGCTTTACAGTGATTTCCCGGGTCCTGTACTGCCACTGTGCTGAGCGACCTCCCCTCTGCTGTGATAACACAGAGAATCCCTAACTTGGTTCAGTGACCATTAAGAAAATGGCTAGTATTTTTATCAGTGAATACAAGGTATTCTTTGATTGGACGGGCAGCAGTGGTATCATGTGTGACAGTACAGTGTGAATGCAGTGGGAGGGTGTAGTAGTACTATACCTATAGTCTATACCAGTGATTATATTATATATAGTCTGTGGGTGAAATGTACTATACCACCAAAGACCGTAGTTCCCCCTTCCCAGGCACACTTCACTCATACAGTACTGCTTCACTAATACATGCTATGATTGAGTACTGGTTTGAAAGGGTTTACTAGTACAAATATTCCCAGATACCATTGCTGGAAAAACTCAGGGGAGGTGTCATGGAAAATGTCACTGCTGGACAACTATGTGCACAAGCACCATCTCACAGCACATCAATGCAAAATGGCAATACTTCCCAGAGTTTGTAACAAAAGCCTTCTGATCACTTGAGTCATCTTCAATCTTTCTATTCATAGCAGCGACATCCCTCCTCTCCATCACATGGTACATATTCTGGACAATGTATTTGACTCTGATCACAAGGCTCTTTTTATGTATTTTATAGGACTCAGTAATGCACTGACTTGACTCACCAGCTCTATGAGTTAGCGTACTAGGATTCCTGTATGTTAAATCATAAAATAACTTAGAGCTATTGCCATAATGCCAGGAGCAACCACATTTCAGTTGTATGTAATCCAAGACAGGTTTATATACCAAAGTGAACATGTAACTGTTCACAGTTGGCAATATTTTCATATACTGATCAGTCTCAATCTTCTGAACTCAAACACAATTAACCTAAAAAGAAAACATCCTAAAATAAAACACACACAGCCAATTCCACTTATGGAATTAAAAAGACCCTTTACTAAATACAGTATGTAACATATATGCTTCAAAAGATTTCTGAGACACTTTGTGGAGCTGGTATATACTGTAAATGCCACTTGCACATAATACTTTCTCAGAGGACTTATAATTACTAAATTAATATTTAACAAGCTGATCAAAGTTTTGGCACTGATCGGGTAACCAGTGCTGGAGGGAAAAATACATTATGGAAATGAAAGGATACAGTTATTCATCGCTCTAGCTTTTATTATCAGCTCTTAAATTGACACTAAACTCAGGAGTTAAATCTGAAAAATGTATTCAAATACCTTAACTATTAACAAAACTGTATCTTATTTGTGTATCACTCAGCTGTAGATCCTCAAATCATCTCTGAATTCATACTGACACTGTCCTTCCTTCTGCAGGGGGGCTACTTTTGTTCCATATGGTCCCTGTGTGTATTGTAAAGTAGCCACCACTCCAAGCTCACTCCCACAATGGACTGCAATCTCAATACAAATTGGTAAATTGGTAAACGTGAGATTGTAGTTCATCATGGGAGCGAGCTTGGAGTGGTGGCTACTTTACAACACACACAGGAACCATGGGGAACAAAAGTAGCCTCCATTCAGAAGGAAGGACAGTGTCAGCACCAATTCAGAGATGATTTGAGGATCTACAGCCAAGCGGTTCACAAATAAGATACAGTTTTGTTAATAGTTAAGATACTTTGTATATATAAAATATATATCTTGCATTAATGCAGTAGATATAAATTAAGCAGAAAGTCAAACAAATGAATGGATTCACTTAATACAATAACCATAAATATGCCACATTCTGCAGTAATACAAAATCACAATGTGTTCAATGTGATTCAAATGTTAATGTGAACTAAACAATGTAACCAAACTTCCACAACTTACAATAGTGAGTATTCTAATATATGACCAACCCACACAATGTGCTAAACATATAAGTGAAAGTTTTTCTAATAGTCCAATAGTGTGTGTTCCGTGACGATTTCTTAGATTCTTCTCATGTGTCACTCCAAACTCTCCATCTCCAAACCTGCTCACCTTTATTTAAGACCTTAAAGTGGACCTTTAGGCATCTCTTTAAAATATCAACAAACACACCCTTAGAAATGTTTAGTAATGACAATCTACAATCACATACATATAGATAATTGCAGGCTTTGTATTCTTTGCATACCTGATTTCTCTTTTACTCCCCAGTCTTCTGCCAGTGGCCATGTTTACTAGAGGCAGATTACTGGCTCTCCTATTACTTCCTGGATTTCTGGCACATGTGACTAGACATGTGACTAGACATGTGACCATGCACATCATCTCAGGGGAGAAAAATGTCTTTCTCTGAGATGAGATTTGCCAGCAATGCTCTGCTGATGACAAGGCAATCTGAGTGCACATTGCGTTGGCAAACTGAAGTCATTTTGCCCTTTCAAAGCAGGCAGTGAATGTTCTGCAAGTGTAAGTATCTCAGAATCACAGCATTTTACACATGACATGTCTATGTTATTATTAAGCATCATACATAGAAGGATGCATTAGTAGAAATTAGATTTTTCAATGTAAAGGTCATGAATTAAAATATACTCACATGCAGTAAAAGAACAGTCGCACTCTATCAAAAACCCTGAAACAATTACAGGGGATGGATAGTATTGCAGTCTTGCTTCTCCCCAGTTCCACCTACTACCACATCACAAAGCTCCATCCAAAGCTTTGCAGCAGCGACTCGGATGTTTTGCTGCCTTAATTTCTCTCATGTATACACAGCTGCGAAGGGGTAAGCTGCTGAGAGAGCTGACTTGAACAAATGCAGTGCTTCTGCTTTGAAATTTGAGGATGAATTGCTTCACTTGGCCAGCATCTACAAAGGTAAGTATAGGCTTCCTTCTTAATGCTTGTTCAGAATATGTAAATTCTTTAAAGTCCATGTCCCTGCCAAATTTTAGTAAGCTAGGACATTCCTTTTTATTTTTTTTCTAATGCTAATTTGCTTTGCCTAGTAAAAGTGTACACAGTATGTAAATTAGATCTTCTGAAGGCGTGGTTGTTTTCATCACTTCCTTCCACCAAAGTTCATTTAAACTAGGAATCAATATAGAACTATTGCAGTGGATGTTAACTCTTCCTTTATTCTTCAGAGGTAGGCGATCTTGGCACTCCAGCTGTGCTCAGAATATAAATCCCATCATGCCTCTGTCTCTGCAAGTCATTCCCGTGACAGTCTTCAATGCCTCATGAGACTTGTGGTTCCACAATAGCTGAAGTGCCAAGGTTGCCTGTTCTGCTCTAAATGTAAATTCCCAGTCTCTGCAGTATTGGAAGTATACACCTGGTGGCGCAATAGTACTCCATTCTTCACAGCTTGACAGGACGTAGCACAGCATTATGTTTAAGAAATGTACGCACACAAATGATATACCTTATTTTCTCTGATCTTCTGGTCTTTTAATACCTCTTTATAGTTTTCTATTACATGTTGTCATGCCAAATAAACATCTCATTTAGCTCAGCATATACTCAGCATTTAAAGCTGCAGTCTGACATCAGCTGTCATTTTATCATCATCAAACTTATACATGGGAGGAAACAAACAGAACCCTATATACCTTTTTATTTAAATGATGTACCCAACTATTGAAGAGCTTCACTGGGTCACTGTTAATATCTGTTACCTAAACAGAGAGATGTTAGTGACCAATTTCATCACTCATTCTCACTGCACATATCGGTAGCAATCTAGACTCAAGTCTCACAATTTTTTCTAGAATTTCGATTGTTCATTAGAATATGCTGTGATCCCATCTCTGAACATGCAGGACATAACCACATAGTCATATGATAAGGGACCATTCCTAATGTCTGATCTGTAGAAATACAGGGACATACTCTATTCCTTGCACTCTATTTCCCCCGTGTTTGCTTACACATAGTGCATTAGGTGTTAAAATGCAGCCTGCCCATTCAGCCATAGCATCAGTACTGCAGGTAGGACTCGTGAAGAACACTTAAAGCACAGAGAATAAAAAGAATCCTGAACTTCATATAGCCCTACTCATTAGAATCATCATTGTCCTGCTTCTATCCATGGCGAATTCTCTATAAACATCTGTGTACCAAGACCTTTTTCTTTTTTTCCTAAAAAACCCAAAAACAAACCTTGAGAATTGTATGACTATTTGCTATAGCTCATTACAACAATTTTTAGCTTGATATTGTCCCTGGTTAAAATCTTGGTCAGGACACTCCCTGCGAGGGGTTTGCATGTATGTGTGGGTTTCCTCTGTGTACTCTGTTTTCCTCCCACACTTCAAAGACATGCTGGATGGTTAATTGGCACCTGTCCAAATCGGCCCTAGTATGTGAGATAGAGACTTAGATTATAAACTCCATGAGGACAGGGACTGATGTGAATGTGAATGTAAAGCGCTGCGTAAATTGTCAGCGCTATATAGATGCCGGTAATAAATAAATATGGTATCAAAGGGTGCAACAGATGAACTCCCTTAATCTATATTATTCAACCAAACAGATCTTCCCTTATACAGTATGAGAAAGCAGAGAGAAGGCTCCAATCCTTCAGTCAAACCTGGATTTTGAGTTCAGCAGACTGAAGCATGAAGGTGAAGACAGACAATGAATCCCCAATTCTTTAACTTGTCAGTACAATCTTGGATACAGCAGATACTTTCAAGGGGCAAGAGAACGTGCCATTTCATTACAATAAAACAAATTTCAAGAAAGACAGGTGACAGATGTCATTTTTTAGTAGCACTGGTTACCACGGTCCTCTGTTTCATCCTCACCTTTCCTTATCCTTACTCTCTGAGTGCCTTTGAGTAGAGCTGTCCTTAAACTGACACTCTTACAACCAGGATTTAAGCATAATTTGCCAAGACATTACATTTCCAAGAGAGTAACAAATAAAAGTTAACAGATAATAAATAAGTTTCCAAAGTTTGAACCAATGGATAAAACTTTAATACGCAAATTAAAAGACATTTTTCAAACTTACAGCTTAAGAAAAAGGTGCAATCAATAATCCAGAATGAGAATTCCATTCTAAGCAACATTAGTTCCTAATGACGGAACTGCATGGTCAGGCACATTACAGATGCAGTGTACCCGCCTAACTCAAATACTTTTATATGCAGAGATAATCAATGCTTACCTTTTCCCCTCTCTCTTTTGAAACCTCACGTTCGTCTTCCTTGTCACACTTATTTCCCAGGAGAACTACCTCCACTTCTTCCCCAGCTTTCTGAATCACAAAAGCAAATTGTAAAGATGCAGTGACTTTGGGAATGGATAGCTTCTGCAAAGCACTACAGCTCACATCCATTGTAGATGACAGACTGTCTTACAAGGAAAAGCTCTTGCATTTTGTATGGCAGTAATATGAGGGCTGACACTTTTCTGCATTTTCATTCAGAATTATTTAAGTCTAACAATAGTGAACCAGTTACAGGCTTTCAACTCCTGCCAGAGAAGATTATTGGGAATGGCATATAGATTACAGTGCAGGGGAGACGGAGATAAACATACTGGTAAAGCACGTCACTGGAAAATACTTTAAATGAAAGGCTAAAGTACATTTAAACTCATATATGAACAGAGATGTCTATGTTTTTTTCCATGTATGAATTGTATTAATCTACAGGTAAGCCGATGTACGGCTGATTTCAGCCGATGTACGGCTGAAATCAGCCGTACCAGCCTGAAGTGAATAGCCGAACAGTGTTCGGCTCACTTCACTTCTGATCGGTCATTCACTCGGCTGCCCTCGGCAGCATAGTGAATAGACCCCTATGTCAACATATCTTATTAAAGCAGAGCTCAAGCCAAAAATAACAATGTAAAAATGAATAGCCCAATAAAAGAAATCATAACAAAGCCAGCTTTTGCTGCAATATTCCCCTGAAATACAGAGAGTTACCCCTCTGTACTTTTCCTTCCAGTAGATGTCCTCAGTCTGATGGCCAACATAATTTTGCCCACTTTCTGTGAGCCCAGGCTGTCCTCTACCCACCCCTGCCTGTGCATGGATTGTGAAAGAAAAAGCGATGATCTTATCTCCCGTCATTCTGCTTTCTGATCCTATCAGCATGCTCTGGTCAGCAAATAAACTGATTAGTTCAATGTACTACTTCTTCCTCTTGCACTCCAGCCCTGCTGTACAGGGTCTGCAAGAGGAGGGTACCAGGTCACATTCCTTTTAAAAAGCAGTGTTAATTTGTGTTTTTTATATCTGCCAAGAACTCAGCTTTAAATATATTGCTAACAGCAGTGGCGGAACTACCGGACGCACCAGGGCCTCTAGGGGGCCCAGCACAGTCCCAGCGCCGGATCGGTACCCAGCGGCCAGCGGGCCCCCCATCTCTGCGCCGTGAGTGTCGGATCATGCTACCTCACTGGCTAACAGTAAGTATGTATTTGAAAAAGCACAGTAAGATCAGCTGGTACAATCTTCATGGGTGCAGACTGTAAAAATATACATATTTAGACTTTTGAACCGAACTTAAATTTAAAGTGAATCCGTCAGCCATTTTTATTGTTAAAAGAAAAAGTCCTGTCTAAGAGTACTGATATTTCACAGGACAGTATAATTATACAGGCCATTATGAGAAGGAATAAAAGCAATCCAAAAGCCCTCACTCAATCAGTGCGTAGTACAGTGGACCCTTCTTACAACATAAGGTATTTACATGTATCATTCCATTATGTATCCCAAAAATAAGAGGATTTTTCCTCAATTCAGGAAAGTGGGCTGAGTCATGCAAAGCATTGTATTTTGTCTTTTCGGACAGATGCACATCCAGAACCACTGGTGTATAGTGCAATTATAGCCTAAAATCAGAGTCACCGAGCTATTTCAGGTTATTTAGCTATTATCAGTGCAGTGTAAGTACATCTGGCCAAAGGAGTAAAAAGCAATGATCTCCATGACTTACTGCCTACTGTCCTGAAATGAGTAATTTCTCCTCTTATCTTTGGGATATGTGATGGAATGAGACGTGTGAATGCCTTCTGTTTTAAGAAGAGTCTATTGTGCTACACTGATTAGAGTGAGGGCTTTTTGATTGCTTTAATACCTTCTCACCTTAACCTGTATGGTTATACTGTCCTGTTAGGTTACAAACCCTACATGGTTTACATACACTGCAATGATGGGTAAAACATCTCCCTTTTATGTATTAAATTATTTTGGCTAAAATTAAGTGTAGTATCTGTTCTTATCAGTTGTCAGCAGGGAAATGTGCTGCTATTCTTATGGTAAGAATGTCTGGCTGTAAAGTACCCTGTCTGAGATGATGTTGGTTCCAAAGGGTTCTGGTCGTTGGAAGGAAACCGAATGTAAAGTCTACTCATGTAAGAGTGGAGATCACAATGAATTCCCTAGTGTCCAAGATCTGACAAGTCACTGTGCCTCCTGATTTGAATGGGTTTACCTGGTCTGGGAAGGCAGGAGCCCATGGTGTATAGAGCCCCACAGGAGTGGCACACTGGGGGGTGCCCAAGTAGCTTTTTCTGCACTATGCCTCTTGGGTAGGCGTTTTGGCTAAGACAAGGGGTAATTTTTATACCAGGCCACAAGGCCCTGCCATTGTCTTGCACCAGGATGGAGGGTGCGGGTCTTTGGGCCTACCCTGAAGTCTAGGGCAAGGATGTGTGGCCATTAGGTTCTCAGTGGTCGGCTTTGGCTGACCATGTAGAATGGGCTCACCTGGTTTTGGAGAGGTGGACATATGTGCTTTGCCCCTGTCAAGAGCCTTGCGCCCCAGGGAGTAAGGGAAGGGCCCTATCTCTTTGGCATATGGACCAGTTGACACACTCTTGACACACACTTTTTTGTGTGTGTTCACATGCACTTTTTTTGTTCACTATGGTGTTTCAGGGTGACCAAGACAACCGAATTGCTGCAGCATTGCTTTCTGTTGGACCAATCTGAAGGCTGATTGCCAAACGTATGTGAAGTTCCTCTTCTACATACTTAGTGTTAGCAAAGATGGCTGCTGCGCACGCGCGTGGGCCTTTGTTCCATACAGTTGGGAAACATGCTCTACTCCACAGGCGCACGCAACTGGGAGTGCCTGGAAAGACACATTGACGTCCGACGCACAGCATATGACGTTTTACCTCTAATGAACTGGCCTATATAAGCAAGCCTGCCCTATCCATAGTGCTGATGGTCTCTAGCTAGTTCTCCCTGTGAACCTGTTACTCTACTGCAGGGACGCCCACAATTTTTCGTCTGGAGATCTACTTTTCAAATGACGAGCTCAATGAGATCTACCAACGAAAAAACACCTGCATTCAGGGGCGGGAGGGGGCGTGGCGGTGCATTGAAGTCAATGGCACCGCAGCCAGGCCCATCACTGACAGTGATGTTAATATTAATTTATTCCAGAGACTGGGACTTCAGAAATAGTTTTCCCCAGGAGTGTCAGGGACCCGAACACCTCCAGGTGGAGCTGGAGCAGATCCTGCATTTCCAGTGCTCACCTGCAGGTGTCTCCAGGCAGCCAGTGGCTGTCAGGGACCTGAGCGCCTCCAGGTGGCACTGTGACGCTGGAACCAGGACCTGCAGCTCCAGGGCTCACCTGCAGGTGTCTCTGCAATTAGGCACCACCTGCTGATGATCTGGGAGGGTATTTAATCCCTCCCTGCAGTGAGCCTGGTGCCACAATATTGTCGCCATTTCCTGTGACCTGATTCCTGCATCCTGGTGCCCCCTTGTACCCTGACCATTGCTCCGTGTCTCCCCTTATGTTGCCGTGCTCCCCAGGTTCACCTGCCCTTTTGTATGTGGTTTTGTTGTTTGCATTTTGTTGTTTGTGGTTACTTGATTTCGCTGTGCCTAGTAAACTGTGTGCTCATAAACATTGTTTGGTGTGGTCACACATTTGGTCCTCCCATAGAGATACCTGTATGCGGTGTGGGGACACATCGGGCACGGTATCCCTCACAAGGAGGCAATATCAGCCACAGTTGCACATGTGGTTTTGTTTTGTCTTCCTCTGGTGGGGTGTAATAGAGATTGAACTTCAGGGACTGTTCACACCACATTCAGTGTGTTCCAGCACAGTTAGTGCCCGGAACGCACTGGATCGCATAATTAAAGCCTCCCGCATGCTGGAGCGGGAGGAGGCGTGGTGGTGCCATTCATGTCAATGGCTCCCACACGCAGTGCGATCGCCCAGAATGTGTGGTACAGCAATGTCCGCGGTCCGGTGCGGTGCAGTCGCAATAAATAGTACACCCTAATTAATGTTATATGCAAAGCACACTTAATATGCTGTTAGGAAGTTAGTTGCTACGTTAGTGAAATAGCTCTTTCATTGTAGTATATTGCACACTTACTCACTGGTCTACATGGAACCAAGGTGCACATAGATCCTAATGGCAGCTTGTTGAAATATCCAACCTTCATCACATTGCATGAAGGAGGCACAGCGATTTATTTCTATGATAGATTACAGCTGCTTTGCAAAGCTTTGAAGAACTGGTAGAGAAGACCGGCATTTAGCAACATGCTGGAAAGCTCCCTCCTGTTTTTAGGCACCTAAGAGGAAGACTGGTGCAGTCATCTACACAGCTCTCAATGAGATTCAGTTCTACCCAGCAGTACATAGGGAAATCCCTTTAAATTCTCATCTGTTACTTACCGTCTTAATGTCTTTCATCCACAAAGAAATATTTTCAAACGAGGTTGTATTTGTAATATCGTAAACAAGTACAAATCCATGAGCACCACGGAAATAACTGACACTGAAGGTGTGAAATCTTTCTTGTCCAGCTGTATCCCTGAAACAGCAAAGGGCTCATTAAGGTTTTAGAACATTCTCTGATGAACACCCCTTCCCCCAGTAAAGCAGGGCTAAATATATTGCATGTTAAGTTACCAGTGTGTGCCAAATCACACCATCCCACTACAAGACATACTGTATTTTTCCATGTATAAGACGCTACTTTTTCTTAAAAATATTTACCTAAAAATGGAGGGGCGTCTTATACACGGGGGCCGAGAGGAGAACCGCGGTTGCGAACTGACGATACCTCTGCAAACTAGCCTCACGAGTGAAACTTCCGATTGCAGAGACAAGCGAACAGGTTTCCTCCAATCATGAGCCTTATGTACCTGACTTCAGCTAATGCTGCGGAGAGCGTGTAGCCAGTGCCCAGATGCAACAGCGAGCCCATAAAAATGTCAGAAAACAAAAAAAATACTGGTACCAGTAAGCAGCCGTCTTACTCTGCAAAATTTAAACTGGATGTAATCAGTTATGCAAAAGAGCATGGAAAATATTGATTTCTGAATTTTGGGTAAGAAAAGTGGGGGGCGTCCTATACATGGGGGCGTCTTATAGACGGAAAAATACGGTACTCAGCTTGTCCATGTCTCTTGATGACTCCTGTCACCGTATTTCTGATACTTGCTATTGGGGCATTGAGCTAAACCTCAAGGACTACACATTGGGGAGACAAAACAACCACTGAACAAATGGATGGCCCAAAATAGGAGGGCAAACTCTGCAGGTCAGGACTTCCTATACCTCAAAAGAGAACTATGGGGTAACCTTTTTTCATCCCAGTTTCCTTTAGGGTCACGGGAGGACATATACAAACCTCTAGTGACCCAAAGCTCAGTATAAAGCAGGCAATAGCCTGCTATATACTGAGAGCACCGCAGCCGGGGCGGATCCCGACAATACTGTCGAGATCCACCGGCTGGCTGATTGAGAGCGGGCTCTGCCTATCTAGAGGCAGAGCCAGCTGTGCCCGCCCCCTCCCCCATCACTGTCGGCACCGGAGGATCGGAGAGGGAAGGGGGGAATCCCTGTGGGGAGTGGTGACTGACAGTCACGGCTCTCTGCAGGGAGATGATCGGGAAGTGAGTGAGCGATGGTATGTGTTCGCGCACTTACCAATCTATAGAGTCAACGTGAAACAGATTCAAAGTCACGCGTCGCTCTAACTATGAGGATGAGTGTAAATCACTCACCTCATAGTTCTCCTTTAAGGAAAAACAACACTTGTTTGAGGACAGCCAGATGTACTTTTGGGACAAAAGAGGACAACCATACCTAAATAGTGGTGGGGGCATTTAACGCCATTTGTCACCCACAAATAATGCTGTTTTAACATCGCTAAGGTGTATAGAACACCTACTCCAGCTATGTAACTCAAACAATTAACATTTGTTTCAGACCAGCATACTGGTGGCTGGATTGTGGAAATAGAACAGGATAGTTTCACAGACTTTCTCAGTAACTATCACTATCATGTTCTTCGACAATCAGCATCTGCCTTGACACATCCCATGGTGATTGGTTTAAGATGACTGAGTAACCATGTGGCTATAAATGCTGGGGTATGTTTCTGACACTCATTTGAGCTGAAGAAGATGGTTGAATGAGTATCCAGATGTATTCTACATTACAGAACAAGTCCAGTTGAATGTGACCTACTACTACTGCCCACAGCTGGGTACTTCACAAATGTAATTTGCACATTGTGATTAGGAGAGAAAGAAAAGTGTCGGGAGTAGAAGCAAGCCTGTCACAGGGCTCCGACATGTCATGAGACTGTACCCTCCTCCTAGCCGGAAGTGTTCTCCGCAGTATACAATAGACTGCACTCTATAAATAAATAAAACCTAAAATGCGGACGCAGTGTGGAGTAAATAGAGTAATGCCCTGCGGAATGTTTAATTCCCATGTCTATAACAGCCAACAGGCCCAATTCACAAAGCTCACACATCTGGAACTATTCTTTAATTCTCCCTGAATTTATCATTTCAGAAAGTATGGAGGAGTGTAACCCAGAATTAAGTTATTATACATTCCTCACTTTTTTTTACCATAGAATAAAGCTTCAAGGAGATACCATTTTTAAGGTTAAAATGCAGCACATGACACTACACATTTTTGCAGCATTTACTAGCCATGTTCTGTAGAAAAGGTAATGGAAATGATCAGATTAAGATGTTTCTTGTAGCTGCTTCGGGCTATTTATAAGAAATATTAACACAGTAGTCCTATTTCACACCAAAGTAATGGGGTTGAGAATGTAGCAGCAACACTGCAATATACTGCTTAGTCACCTGACCCATCAGCATTACAGTGCTAAAGAATTTGACTAGACACACTAATTTGACTAATGCAACACTTATTCCCCAAATTATTTTTCTTGTTAGTTTAAAGTATCTGCTAAATATTAACAAGAAAACCCCACATTTCGGTAGTTTGCTAAAGCACTGTGTATCACCATTTATGTTTGGCTGACTTATTATAGATGCAAGCTTGATTGCTAACAGGGTAGCAATACTCTACTACTGCTATACTTTTTTAATAAAATACTCATGATCTCCTGCAACCTCTTTGTAACTAGTTCCTGGCTACATGCACACACTCCAGCAATGGTTGCACCTCATTTGTCAGGGTGGGTTTCCTTATGGTCACAACAGTGGAACATGCCTGTGCAATGTGCCACTTATACAGGGCTATTCACCAAAGGGTGAAGGGTTTGGAGAAGGCAGGAGAAGTGAATCCCGCCCCATGATCTTTTGCGGCCGCCCAAGAATTTTCAGATCTTTGGACGGGAGCGCGCGGCCGAGACACAGGTAAGTTATTACCTTTTTAGTAACTTTAAAAAAAATGCTTTGCATATATCTACTGATTGCTAGCAGTAGATAAATGCAAACCCCCCCCCCTGAGGGTTTAATTACCCTTCAAGCAGTGGTATCACAAGTTACTGGGGATCCCAGCCGATGCCACTGACTAAATATGGTAAGGGCCCTATTTAGTCAGTAATGTCACCCAGCATTCCCAGCCGGGTTGTTGACATTCAGCAGCTGGCCAGGGACTGTAATTAGCAACGGGAGATGTGGTGGGGCAGCATCTTCATTGCAGCGTCTATCATTCATCACAATTGTCGCTGGACCTGCATCGTTGAACAACCTGATTGACGCTAGATACACATCAGGGGACATTATTTATTTTTTACATTTTTTAGAGTAAAATAATTTTTCTACAGCGTCTGTGTTTTTATTTACTATATAATTTTTTTTAGTGACTAAGTGACTGAGTAACCAAGTGCCCCTTACTCCGATAAGCCCCCCTAACAGACCCCAACATCCATCGGGCCAGGAATGTGGAGATGAGGCCTTTTCCGGAATCAACAGGGACAGGGTGCTTTGGGAGGGTGGGGGGAAGCTTTGCTTTCACCCAGCAAGGTACCCAGTTAAGGGCACGTGGCCTGTTTTATTACATGACGTCACTTTTGTAGGAGTACATCATACTGGTGCGCAAATTCACTTCGCCTAAGCATGTTATTTAAAGTATCTGTGTATATGTTGAAGAATACAGTATAAGGCTCCATTCACACAGGGCATTTATGTGCGTTCAGGGATTCCTTTGGTGAGAACCTAAGGATTCTTATGGCAGGAGTCCCAGGTGTGCCCGTTTAGATGTGACCACGGTCCCCACTCAAGTTAATGATAAATTACAGCGGCCGCATCTGTCAGCAGCAGTCTGCATGTGATTGTACATAGTATGCGATTATCTGCAGATAAGGATAGATGATGGTCCCTGGACGCATGATGGATGCATCTATCCTGTATTCCGGGACATTCATCTATCCCACACTGCAGGTAATTGTACCATGAATGATTACATGCGGGCAGCCACTGACAGATGCGGCCGCTGTCACTCTCACCAAGCAATTAATGAGACTTACCCAATTGGCCCTATTTGTAAGTGTGAATGGAGCCAATTAGATTTTGGTGATTAGGTTTATTATAATTTTATAGGAAATAATAGTAATATTAGCGGTACACCAGCATGTGATGAAATGAGAAGTAAAGTCACATGCTCAATGTTAAACTATAGAAAGGAGAGCCTCATGATACCATTTTCCTACCTATCAGGAACACAATTCCACTGTTCACTGCAGAGCTGGCTAAGGCTGCTAGGTGAACTGTGAAAAATGTTAAATGAGTAATTTGTTCAGAATATTATACATGTATTGTTTGTATGTACAATAAAAGTCCCTTGTGACTAGTACTGGGAAGTATACATTGAAAGGTGTAGACTCGAGAATTTTTGTTGAAGTGTCATAGCTCAGCCTCTTCCAAAGCCCATGGGCATTAAAGGCAAAGCCAACTTTTAGGGGGAAAATGCAGGCTTCTTCATAAAAGAAAAAAATGTGCATTTATTATTTTTTGCATTGGATCGAAGGTGCAGTGCTCTTGCTCCTGCAGATTCTCCCTCCCATCTCTGTCCGTAATGATGCGCAATCTGACCATGTTTCAGGTTACACCCTGCATATAGGTGTAAACTGAAACATGGTCCAAAAGGTAAACTTAGCCTTTAAGGTCAGTTTTTGGATTCTAGGTACATGGACAACACAGTGAAAAAGCAACAAACTAACCCTGAATCCCTTAACTCAATTTCCTTCCTTAAAGAGACTCGTTTACATTAAAGCTGAATTCTGGGCTGGAAAAAGGAAAACTCCTTGCAGTGCATTAGTTAGACTTGTGATGTCTAGGGAAGATGAAGCAGCTGTATTACTTGTCTTAAACTTCACTCCGACAGGCTTTTGCTCCTTAAGCTTTTCCTTGACACTCCAGGTTTTGGGTGGTCTCTTGAAGTCATAACATACAATGCAGGGCTATTAGCCCTAAAGGAGGAAGGGGTGCAACCCAGGGCGAGAGCGCCTTAGACGGATGGCCACTGCTGGACTGGTTGACACAGATAGAGGGAGCCCACCGGAATAAAGAATAATGTATTACTCTACCCATAGGCAAAAATTATCATTTAACCCTTGCAGTGCAGGGGGGCATTGCAAGGGTATTTTTTTTATTCCAACCCGGAGTTTAGCTTTAAGAGAACTAAAAGCTGGTGCCCCAGAGGTGCCTGAGCATACTTGCTGCAGTTTTCAGTAACCTCTTCTTCGCTTAAATGCCAACCCATTCTAAAAGGTAAACCTCTGCAGGTAATGTCAGAGCTTAACTAACCAAACCCGCCCCCACATGTATATTGACCCATTAATGACTAATAGGAATATGCAAGAGGCAGGACGGGGCAAGCAAGCTTCTTTACTACTAGGAAATGCCTGTCAGAACGGCCTGGCGTTTGGGCAAAGCAGACGGTACTGGAAACTTCTGCAGGTATCCTCAGGGTGCCTCCAGTTTACACCTGTTAGACACTGTTTTGTTTTCATAAAGGGGCAGAGCCTCTTTAACGCTGAACATCAGTTAGTAACAGACCCTTAAACTGACTTTACCCAAAGTCTTCTTGTGTGTATGTAGTAAGACAAAAGCTATGCATCCAGTACACTGAGCTAAAAGCGAGAATGCCCAACAACCAGTAGTGAATGCTGACAACTAGTAAATGCTCCATCTCTGATACTGATTATAGGTGTGGTGACAGTGGCAGCTTCAAAGCCTCAAGATGTTAATATAGTACATATTTATAGGCAGAGATTAAACAACATAAAGCACAATCTTACCAGATCTGAAGTTTTATTGGTCTGTTATCAATGTGGATTATTTTCGTTTTGAAATCAATTCCTAAAAAAATTTAAAAAAGAACAATTTGAAGCATTCTTCTGTGTTTTGTCTCATCATCTAAAGCTGGCTATGATGTGAAGGAATTCAACAATTTATAATCAACCTTGTACCTGTTCACCAAATATGTACAAGCATTGCTCAGTGAATGTCAGGTCATGTGGGGTAATACCTATGCAGCATCAGGTTATCTTCTTTCCTTAGCTCTGATTTTAGTTTCACATATGGCATCTTCAACAGCAGGTGTAAACAAGGAATAAGCTAAACGTTTTAGACCTACTGAATCCTCTATAACAAATCCAGCAGTTCCCCACCATGATCATTTGCACAATGCAACTGTTGTCTGATCATTCATATTGTACAACAATATCTTAGCCTATTCGTTTTGTGTAGGTGCCAGTGGGTGGAATCAAATACAGCGTTCTTATATCTCTTGAAAAATGCCCAAGGTAAGGTTTCCCTAGAGCTAGAGAAGTCTGCTGGAAAACAGCTCACCCGTAGGAATAAATGGGGCCGTGGCATGCATGAGCACTGTGAAGATGTGCCATCGGGGAGGAATGGATGGTTGAGGGCGCTATGACATTGTGAAGACTACACTATGAGGAGGAGAGAACACATTTTGCAAGTTTTCCACGTGGAAGGGAACATGTTTGCCACTCCAAAACCCACTCAGGCCTGGAAGCACACACTAAAGGTGCCCATACACTCCCGCGATCGTATGAGAAATCCCGCGTTCGTACGAGAATCGAGCAGTGTGAACGAAGACGTGCGACCGTTTCTAATGTACGGTCGCACGTCTTTTGTCTAAGGAGCATGTTAGAAAACCAGCCGAGAATCGTACGATTTTCGGCTGGTTTGAACAGTGCTCGGGAGACAAATGCCGAACGGGCCGGTGTGCGCACACGCACACTGCCCGTTCAGCATTGCGGTCATCGGAAGCCCGCCCTTCAGGGGGGCGGGCTTGCGATGATCGAGAGTGCGATCTGCCTGTCCAAGATGGGCAGATCGTACGTTTTTTTAATCACTTTACAACCATCGCAAGACTAAGGTCTTGCGATGGTTGTACAGTGTATGGCCACCTTTACTCTGGGATTATACTTAACCTAAACAGCAGATCCAATCCATATCTTCAGCATCCAATAAAAGACACAGACTGCAGCTCATTCTAAGCACAATTCATATGGTGGATCCAAGGTAGCCAAAACAGCTAGACTAAATAGTCACCCCTCAAGGGCACAAAGCCAGGCCCATAGAGACAAGTTTTGACTTTTGATGAGTGTTGAGGTTTGATTAGTTAATTGTCAAGAAACTTGAGTGACCTGCACAGAGCCCTGACCTCAACCCTTGTGAAGCCGATTGTGAGCAAGGCCTTTTCTACCTTACCTCACAAATGCTCCTTTGTCTGAATGGCAACACATTTCGATAGACACCCTCCAAAATCTTGTTGAATGTCTTCCAATAGAGTGGACACTGGTAAAGTTGCAAAGGGGGACCAAATTCATATTAACGCCCATGGTATTGAAATGAGATGCCAAAAAAGGCCATATAGGTGTGATAGTCAGGTGTCTATAAACCCCGGACTGATAATGTATCACTAAAGTATAAGCAGTGAATTAGAATGCAAACAGCTTGCCCCCAATGGACACATTCCCACACATTAGACCTTTTTTTAAAAGCCCCCTTGCACACAAGTGTTTTGATGGTTCTCTTTAAGCACCTCATCCAAGCAGGTGCCAAAGCTGCTGATACACTAATGTCTGCATGTGTCTACAACCTGCAAAGATCTATCTGTCCATCTCCATCAATCTACCTATAATTCTATATATTACATCGCATAGCCTGCGGCTCCTAAAGGATGAAAGATCTGTCAGTAGCAGTGAGAAGTTGCTATAGTCTGGTTTGAAGTCTGCGTTGACATATATCATTTTAATGATTAGGAAAAGGGTGTCATATTGGGGTTTTCTCTTACTAAGCAGCACTTGTCAGTTAAAGTCACTGAGCTCAAGCTATGTAAAGAAGAAGGAGTGTGTCACCAATTACATTCAGATCAGCTGAAGTGGAAATGCTGCGTCTCCAGGACTGTCTGGAATTTTACTGAACTTCAAATACTTCAAGGAAGTTCTCTCTAGTATGTTTACCTTGGTAAAGATTGTTCGCAATACCACATTTCACCAATAAAAGAACACATGGAACAATGTTCAGGTGTTACGTTCACAGTGTATTTATAATAAATGTAATTCTTAAGGCACACTGCACGCAAAGCCGCGCAGAGCGGAGCAAAGCTATCCGGCACGGAGCTTTGCGTGCAGTGTGTGAGCTGAGTGCAGTCAGATGATTGACTGCACCTTCAGCCAATCGGCTCGTGCTTAACAACCGGCCAGACGTCGCATCCCGTCGCGCCGGTTTATACACGCGAACCGATTGGCTGAAGTTGAAATTGTTCATCTCGGCACGCTCAGCTCCGCAAGCTCTCGCCAGCAGAGGTACCCAGGAGAAAATGACATGACACACTGCTCGCAAAGGCAGCGCGCCAACGCTCCGCGCTGCTTTGCGTGCAGTGTGTCACGGCCTTTATTGATTTTATTTGAAGTATAGCTCCAGAAAAATAACACAACTTTTTGTAGCTTTGAGTGGTTAAAGGGGTTCTAAAGCCTCCGTTTTTTTGCCTATATCTACTGCTTTAACAGCGGTTTAAACTTACCTTGTTATCGCTGCTCCTGGCCGAGAAAACAAAACTGTTCGGGCGGCCGCAAAGCATCTTGGGGCGGGCGCATGCACAGTTCAGATTCTCAGCCGGGAGACGAGCAGAGACACAAGGTGTCTGCAAGCACCCGCATGCAGACATCGTGGGATCAGAAGTGCCTGCAAGCAGAGAGGAGTCAGCGCTGGATCGGAGACCCGCCGCACCGCTGGAGGGACAGATGAAAACGACAGGAAAGAAGATCGGATTAAGAAACCTCATTTAAGGTAAGTGCTGACATCAACATTGGGAGGAGGGAAAAAATTTATCCTTTAATGTCATTTTAAGGGCTTGAACATTTCTCAGGTATTTATTGTCTGTTCAGGTGACAATGCTGTCTGCAGGACAGGAAGATACAGGAATAAAAGCATGTTTTAGAAGAGTGGGGGGAAGACTAGACCATCTGTCAGGTATATATTGTCTGTTCAGTCAGCGTACGAGTACCCGCACAGACGTGCAGGGTGGGTGAGCGTAGGGCGGCATAAGGTCCACGTACTCGGGAGCTGCCCGATACGGCCGTGCACGCAGCATGGAGCTGTGCGTGCCGGCTGTTTCTCGTGTGAATGAGGCCTAAGAGACATCCTTTAAGGATAGTCCCTACAGTAGGATTGGGAAGGGGGAAAAAAAAGTTTAACTTTATTGTCACTTTAAGATGTGTGAGGCTAAAAGATACCTGCTACCACAAGGGAGCTGGTCCCATGTCCCCCAATTTTACAGGCGTCACCTGCAGATCCCAGACTGGTCAAGACTTTGAATGCAAATCACCTAAATGCTTTTCATTTTGATATAGTGTATATTTGCATTGTGCATTTTTCAACCTTTAATAAAGCAGTCAGCATTGAGCACCCTGTATTTGGACTTCACTGCATTAATTATAGATATACGTAAGGATCTTAAAGCAACTCACTGGCACAGCAATGGTTAACCTCCTCCCCCCTGTCAGCTCACACTCAGTGTCCTGTGATCTTCGTTCACAGCGGGGTGTCCTGCACACAGTCCCCCCCTGGCTCAGGCTGATGTCGGCTGGTGATGGGGGCGGGGCAGCCCTGCTCTGTGTTCAGCCTGGTCGCTCTGTGCTCTTTCATCACTCGAGCTGTCAGAGCTGGGCATCGTACATAGAGGGTTGCGCCGAGCCGGCCCGAACACAATCAGGGAGATTGTGTTCGGCCCACCGGGCAAGTGCCCGGTATGCCCTATGGCCAGTCCGGCCCTGGCCAGGACCCTCTGTTGGGGATTTGGACCCCCCTATCCCCCCCCTTATCTACGCCCCTGGTTCAGGTGACAATGTTGTCTGCAGGACAGGAAGATACAGGAATAAAAGCATGTTTTAGAAGAGTGGGGGGAAGCCTAGACCATCTGTCAGGTATTTATTGTCTTTTTGGGACATTTCTAGGTGACAATCTTGTCTGAAGGACATGGCAGGAATAAAAATAGAAGAGTTAATGGCATTAACTTGTTCATGACACCCCAAACGCAGCCAGTAAAATGTGTGTTTTTGCCTGTGCTTGGAAGCTTGCAGCTGAAAATGTTGTACAAGTGTCTTTGCCATGTTTGTGGCAGCCCATTGAAATGAATGGGCGGACACGTTGCAGCAAAAATGCACGTGAACGCAACGCACGTTCACACATCGCGAAAGTGTGAGTGGGGCTTTATTGCCTGTTGGGGAGATTTCCCATCATTTCTTATTCAGGTGACAATGTTGTCTGCAGGACAGGAATAAAACAAAAACAAAAAAACACTTTTTAGAAGAGTGGAAGAAGATGGGAGCATCTGTCAGCATTTTATTACTGCCACCAGTGTCACCACTGGAGACTTCCTGTCACATTAGGTACTGGTGACAACATTGTTATAGTATCCCTAAGCACAATTTGTATCTAGGCTGACCATGTAACTTTATATTTATCAAATAAATCCGTATGTCTCTAGGTCTAGCTGTCATATCTATGTGCAAGAAAGGAAGAGTCCTTTGTCCTTTAATCATTCCCCCCCC